GAGACAGAGAGAGAGAGAGAGACGAGGAGGAAGGAAGAGAGAGGGTTGATGGTTCAAAGAAAGACAAGGAAGTTAATCGTGCGTGTGAACAAGAAACGATAATACGATGGCAAGTGTCTAGAAGCTTCCGAGACGAATGAGTCACATATGTAGTATGTAACTTCGTGAAAGCAAGGCATCAAAGATAAGCATTAACCATGAACATTTCATCTATTCAACGATTTCCCTATTCGGCATGGGATTAATTAAGCGGCCTCTTTCATTAATCCTGTGGCGTGGAACGTCCGGATAAGTAGGAAACGTGATTGTCAGATTGATCTATAAATCGAACGACGAACGTACGAACTAACCAACGAACAAACGTACGAACGAATGAACGAACGAACGAACGAACGAATGAACGAATGAACGAATGAACGAACGAACCAACGATCGATCGTTTAATCGATTAAACAATTCTACGAGAAAATTAGAAAATTAGAAACGTCGAAGTTAGCCAATTCGAATGACAACGAATCGTAACAAGAGAAATACCTATTTGCGTACGTACATGTCTATGTATGTATGTATGTATATCTGTGTATATATATACATTATATATATATATATGTTTGTGTAGGTATATATAATAGGTATGTATGTAGGTAAGTACATACGTATATATAATCGAAAGTTCATTCTCATTCGAAAAGAGCAACAAAATAGAAAATTCAGGGGACGTTTTACACGACCGATTTATAGAGTAACAACCAGCGAGAGATAATTAACTTGGCAAATAGACCGGACGTGGATGCTTGGGCTTTTAGAGAAGAAGAACGGGAATGAGCACGAGGACAAAAGAGAAAAAGACGAATAGAGCGATAGAAAGAAATAGAGAACTCAGAGAGAGAGAGAGAGAGAGAGAGAGAGAGAGAGAGAGAGAGAGAGAGAGAGAGAAATAGTCGACATAGACGGACAGACCAATAGACAGATTTATAGACAGATAAAGAGAGAAAGAGAAAGAGAAAGAGAAAGAGAAAGAGAGAGAGAGAGAGAGAGATATCCCATCGAGAAGGACTGATTAATAGAAAAAGAAATAGATAGACCCATAGAGAGGAACAGACAAACAAACTTACTAAAGGAAAGTGACAGAGAAATGGACATACCGATAGAAAAAGGTAGATAGACAAACTTACTGATAGAAAGAGACAGACAGATTCAAAAAAAAAGAAAAAAAAAAATGAAAAAAAAGAAAAAAAAAAAGAGAAAGAGAAAAAAGACAAGATGGACAATAAATAAAGAGTAACAAAAATAATGAGATAGAGAGATAGAAATAGAAAAAGAGAGAGAGAGAGAGAGAGAGAGAGAGCTTCGGAAATTTTATGACAATAGTTCTCGTTTAACAACCTATCGACTTTCCGATTCTCTCTCTTTCTCTTTCTCTTTCTCTCTCTCACTCTTTCACCCTCTGTCTTCGTTGAACAGTAGGGGTGATTCTCTCGTCAATGACAGCTGGCGCCAATGAATACGTTTCGTTACTATCACTACCACTACCATTACCACTGATATCACCATCATCCTACTAACCACCAAGTATGTTTACAGACACCGCGAGCGCATTACCCGGACATCCGTTGATATGTTTTCCACGCTCTCGAATTGATAACGCGCGTCCAGGAATATATCGACCTTGTTTTCGAGAGCTTGCTTTCGAACGGGAACCTCTTCATGCTAAATCAGCCACGAGCAAAACTCTTCTTTTCTTTCTCTCTCTCTCTCGTTCTCTCTCTCTCTCTCACACACACACACACACACACACACATACCTATATACATACATTCACATTCTCACACACACACACATACACATATCGTCAAATAATTTCGACAAACGACACAAACAGTTGGGAAAGTAATTAATGAAATCGTTTTTCGTTTCAAACAGTGAAACTCATTAAAGTTTCGCTCAAACCAATTCTACTAACGCTCTTCCCCCTTTTTTTTTACTTTTCTTTTTCTTCTTCTTCTTCTTCTTCTTTTTCTTCTTTATTTTTCTTCTGGTTCTTCCTTCTTTTTATTATTTTGTTTTTTTTTTTCTTTTTCCTTTTCCTTTTCTCACATCGACGAAACTAACGTCGGAAAAAGGAGACAACGAAGGAATATAAAAAAAGTTTCGAATCCGCTTGTCCGATTTAATTGCAACTCTTGCGTTATTTGCTAGTGCATCATGCAAAGAAAACAATAGACATCTGTCGGCTCCGCTCCCCTCCCCCCTTTGTCGTCCCTTTAACAACTCGGCAATTTCCTACGATACCAAACTTGATGACGCATTTAACGTCTTCCGTTCTCGATGGAATTACAATTGATTCCATTGCATGGTGAAAGCAAAATAGATAGATAGATAGATAGATAGATAGATAAATAGAAATGTGGTATACCAGGAGCAATATCGGAATGTAAGATTGGATTCGTTCACGTTCTCGAACGAACATCTGTTTTCTCGCACTTCCAATAATTCTGAT